GCACCTTTGAAGGATGTGGTTCCAAGCACCCGGTGATGCCAGTTCTGAGACCCTGTCCTGAATAATGTCATCATCACCACAGCTTCCTGGCAAAAGGGGTGGGAGGTGGGGAGGGGGGTCGATGGAACCTCAACCCCCTGAAAGGATGTTGCATGTTTGCTACTATTTTTAAATCAAGGATTTAAACTATGTTACAGTTAAACTCGAAGGAGCTCTGGTAGTGTAGTGGTTCTGAATCGGGCTGCGAACCTCAAGGTCAGCAGTTTGAAACTACCAGCTGTTCCATGGGAGAAAGATGAGGCTTTCTGCTCCTGTAAAGATTTACAGCCTCAGAAACCCTGTGCAGGGTCGCTATGAGTCGGAACCCACTCCACGGCACATAACAACAACAACAACAACAACCAGGTCAGTGGTTCAGACCCACCAGTCGCTCTGTACAAACCCTATACAGCATGGCTGTGAGTCAGAAGCAACTCAACAACACTTAATAACAACAACAATAGACAGTTTTAGGGGAATCCAGTCCATTTTCCTTCCTTTTTCTTTTTTTTAAAAAACGAATTTTTAAAGGAGCATTCACTACTTTTCCAGCAGGTGGAGTACTAGACTAGGGAGAGCAGGTCTTCAGTTGAAGGCTGTTTTTTTTCTCTTTCCTATTTTGAGTTATTTGAAATATAAAGCATAAATCAGCCCGTGAGTTCACTACTGGTTGTCATTGCATTAATACCCCGGGATCCCAGCTGCACTTCACCTAGAGAGCAGATCTACTTTTCGGAGTCCATTCACACAACAGCGGTGGCCTCAGACAACAGGACTGAGTACTTAGATTGCCTTCCATCGTCAACTGGCCAGGGAGCTGTCAAGGACACCTAGCACAACTGAAGGGAAAATAATGCGCATTTACAGCAAAGGTCTGGCTCTCAAATCCCTTACCTCTCAAACCAAAAGCATTTCTGGAATACACACAAATACGTATGCAGACACACACAAGTAAACACACACACATGGCACTGTAAAATAAGCACTGGACTGAAAGGTCAGTTTGAATTGAAAGGCCAGCATTTCAAACTCTCTAGCTGCTCCTCAGAAACCCTATAGAAGGTCGCTAGAATTGAGTTGGAATTGACTCGACGGCACTTAAAAACAGCAACAGATACACAAACACACACACATGTTGTTAACTTGTTAAGTGTCATCGGTTCCAGCTCATAGCCATCCTGAGGAGCGGCTGGTGGGTTTGAAACACCGACCTCGTGGTTCAAACTGACCTTACTGTCCAGTGCTTATCCTATAGTGCACACCAGTACTGTTAGATTCACACAAATACAAAAATACACGCACACACAAGTGCACCCACATATACAAAGACACACAGAGAAACACACAAATGTACCCACAAACACATAAACACACAGACACCCATTAATATGGATCAGCCAGAGTTGTCATTTAATGTAACTGAGGTGAGTGGTTATTATGGGCTGGATTAAGTACATGTTTAGTATCTTCAGCATGGATTGCACCTTAGTGTAAAGAAAACAAAAATCCTTACACCTGGACTAGTAAATATCATCATCTATAAACAGAGAACAGATTGAAATTGTCAAAGATTTCATTTCACTTGGCTCCACAGTCCACACTCACGGAGCAGCAGTCAATAAATTAAATGACATATTGTGTTAAGCAAATCTGCTGCACCAGACCTTTTAAAGTGTTCAAGAACAAAGAGGTCAGTTTGAGGCCTAAGGGGCGCCTGACCCAAGCCATGGTGTTTTCAACTGCCTCACATGCAAGTGAAAGTTGTACAATGAATAAAACAGACCATGGAAGAATCGATGCATTTGAGTTAGGGTGTTGTTGAAGAATATTGGAAGTACCTTGGACTGCCAGAAGAACAAACCAGTCTGTCTCGGAAAAAGAACAGCCAGAATGTTCCTTAGAATCAAGGAAGACAAAACTTTGTCTCATATGCTTTGTCTCATATACTTTGGAGAAGGATTTCATGCTTAGAAAATTAGAGGGTCAGTGAGAAAGGAATTCTTCACCAACAACATGGACTGCTAGGGTGACAGCACCAATGGCCTCAGACATAACACTGTGAGGATGGTATAGGACTGTGCGCCGTGTTGTTCATAGGGTCGCTGGGAGTCAGAACACTCAGCAGCCTCTGACAACAATAGCAAAGCTCTGTAGGCATCCCCACATCGCGTACACATCGATGAATGAATGGGAGCTCGTCTAGAACAGACTGTGTGGATCTAATCAGTTGACACAGGATGAGGTCATGTTCCAGCACGTTGGTCCTAATCCCAGCTGAGTGGTGTCCTATAGAAAGAGGAGACACCAAGGGAAGATGCCGCGTGACCACAGGCGATGTCAGAGTGACACTGGAAAACACCAGGAGGGAGGCTTCCCTAGAGCCTCCAGAGAGAACAGGATCCTGCTGACACAGTGACCGCATGACCAGGGACTGGGACACAGAACTGTGAGACAAGGAATTCGGGGCTTTAGGCCTCCAGATTGTGGCACTTTGTTAGGGCACTGCTGCAGTACCTGAGGTGGTACAGGTCCACCTCACGTGGGTCACCTGAGGTGGAAAGGGCCCACCTCATGAGGGTCACCTGAGGCAGAATGGGCCTGCCTCTTGCGGGTCACTTGAAGTAGAATGGGTCCATCTCACATAGGTCACCTGAAGTGATGCAGGTCTACCTCACGTGGGACACCTGAGGTGACATGGGCCCAGGTCACCTGAGGCAGAACAGGCCCGCCTCACACAGATCACCTAAGATAGAATGGTTCTGCGTCTTGCAGGTCACCTGAAGTGATGCAGGCTCACCTCATGAAGGTCACCTGATGTAGAATGGGCCCAAGTCACCTGAGGCAGTACAGGCCCGCCTCATGCGGGTCACCTGAGGTGGCATAGGCCCAGGTTACCTGAAGCCCATCTCACGTGGATCACCTGAGATGGTGCGGGCCCACCTCACAATGGGAACCTGAGTTGGAGCGGGGCCCTTGTCCCATGGGTTGTACGTGGGCAGGGTGACTGACCACACACACCAAGAAGCTGAGGGAGAGATGGCCCAGAATAATGCTGCCCACCCCCAGGTTTCCCTCCCTGCCACTCCATGAAGCTGCCTCACACACACAACTCTGTCTCCACTTCCCAGGCTACCAGATAAAAGTTCCACAAACTGGGTGATTTACAAGAAGAGACGTTCACTGCCTCACAGCTCCGGGGGCCGGAGTGGGTGTGTGATCCCTTCTGAGGCTGGTCTCCAGCTTGCGTGATTGTCCTGGGCTTGCAGCTCACTCTAGTCTCAGCCTTAACCAGCATCATCCGCTGCCTCTGTGTCTCCTCCTCCATGTGACCTCATATTCACTGAGAATAACAGAAAAAACCCTATTTACAAACACGGCTGCATCCACAGGAACTGAGTGTTTCTGGGGGGGATGCAGTCAGTCCAAACACAGTCGTTCATTACGAATGATGCCTTCTTGACACAGGAAGAGGTTTATGGTAATATATCATTAAGTAAGAAAAACGGAAGCCAAACGCTGTGTAACTGTGTGTCATCGAACCTTTGTGGTAGTTGAAAGAACACACATCAAAAACTGATGTTTATTAGCAGAGTGGCTTTTGTTGACATTCTTTATGATTCGATTTCCTGTAGTGACCACGTATTGTTCATGTCCATTCTGAAAGCTCATTTATAAGGGTTGTTTAGGAGAGTCACCACTGGGAGGCGCTGTGGACCACAGATACCAGAAGCGCTGCGGGGTGGCAGTTACCCACGTGCGCCTCCAGGTGGCGCCAGAGTAGCTTGCTAACAGGTGAACACAGAAGCAACTAGGAGACTTAAGTCTGGCTGTTTTGCTCAACGATGCATTTGGCATTTGCAAAAAACTGTTCAAAGTTCAGTGGGAAGTGCCAAGTGTTTACTACATGGGAAGTTGGCTGTGGGTTTTTTGTGACGACCCATGGCCCCTAGACCCCGATGGCCACCACCTCTGCATGTCTTGAGACCAGTGTGGACCCTCAGCTCACTGGTGGGCATCGGTCCCCTCCCTGCTCTCCTGTCCACCCTCCTTCCTGGCTTTTTTACCTGTTGGTGCAGTCAAGCCAAGGCAATTGCTGGTCTCTTCCTTCTGCCAAGGGTGGGAATCATTGATCCTCACGGGAGACAGGGTGTACCCTGTTCTCAACACCTCCTTACCTCTTGCCTACTTGAGCGGGTACTAAGCCTTACTCCAAAACAGAGCATAGGAAGCAACACAGAAAGCAAAAACACTCAGCCTGCAGCTGGGAACACCGCCAGACCGTGCCAAGTGTGAGCACTGGCTGAGGCCGGAGCACCACCTGAGGGCACGGAGACCTTGGCTGCTGGGAGTCCCCACTTGCACTTTGTACAGAAAAACATCTCTCTTCCGGGGCCCACACCTCTGCTTCCAACTCTCTCCCCTCCCCAAAGAATAAGTCCACAGGGCCAGGATAAGAAGTCATTCTCCCGAAAGCAGGAAAACCACATGCTTTGAAAAGTGTGCAGGTGCATAGATGAGGATCAGTGTTGCTCCGTGAAGAGGACACCAAGAGGGAGAGAGAGGGGCTGCCAGCAGGCCTGTGACATTCTCTGTCTCCAAGGATGAGGTGGAGACTGGATCACGCAGGCTGTACGCCATCACTATGAGCAGAGATTTCCATCCAGCAGAAGCTGGAGGACAATACCGAAGCGTCTTCCTTGACCACATCCAAACTGATTATAAACTGATCCCAAATTGCTCCTTCAAAGGAGTGCCCAGGCCCAGGCCCACTGCAGTCCTGTCGATCCCAACTCACGGTGAACCTGCGTGGGTTTCGGAAGTTGTCAGTCTTTATGGGGCAGGACCTCCATTTCATGGATGTGAAATACAGATACTCAGAAACCGAGATTCGCAGAGGGAGGGCTTATCCCACGAAAGGACAAGAAGGTCTTCTAACCCTGTCTCTTGTTTCCTTCCCACAGCTTGATCACTACCCTCGTGTGACTTACCATCTTCCAAGTTCATCCGACACACTGTTCAATTCCCCCAAGTCACTCTTTCTGGGAAAAGTTATAGGTAAGAATTTGGTTCTTGAGGTCGGCGTGTTGTATGATGCCTGTGTTATGTAAAACATGTGACTCTCCCATTCAAATATCTAGGCCTATGTCTTCCCTTGGGACAGTGGATACAAGACAGGTTGTGCTGTTTTGCTCAGTGGTGTGAGATTTACGTTATCATATTATCTTGAGGGTGAATTGCTCACAAAACGCATGAGAGATACCAGTTCACCTGGGGCTAGCGAGCATTGTTGGCGCTCTGGTCACTCAAAGAGCCAACATTATTGGGCACCTGAGACGGACAAGGGGAAGGAGGGACATCAGTTACTTGGTTTTTTGTACTTTCAGCTCACTGGGCTGAGAAGACCTCCACCACCGATAACATTCAAATTGACGATCCCTGTCAAGGCACTGGCCCTTCACTCTCTTCCTCTCGCTCTCAGGAAAACTACCAGGCACTGTCTGCTGACTTGACGGCAGGTGGAAACGAGATGGGACACAGCCTGTCCCCTGTCCCCACGGGTGGCTGTGACTTCAGAGGGCACCGAGCCCCTGGGGATTGATATTAGCTAGATAAAAACGCATACCATCTGATCGGTTACGTATTTCCTCTGAGAATACGGATTGTTAACCCATAGGGGGAAACGTAAGATGGAGGGAAGCTGGGAAGGGGTCACTCTGTCTGGTGGGAATGTCAAGAAAGGTAAAAAGATGGGGGCCCAGGTTGTAAGTGGAGAACGAGAGAGCCCGGGAAAACGTACCTGCGTGCACACTCACTGAAGGCCGGCCTCTACTGAATCTCCTCTTCGTGGCCATATATGAGGCCATTGCTTGACTCTTTGTTTCTCAGGTAACAAACAGAGTCACTGAGAGATTATAAAGAACTTGCCCAAGGCCACCTAGTTAATAAGTGACAGAACCAAAACACCCTGTCCCTACCTCTTCACGACTGTGTTAGACTCCAAGATGGCTAAGTTCAAACTGAACAGAGGAAGATGGAGGAGGCAGGCTGGGCAACAGATAAAATCAGAGCTCGGATTGACCAATTCTGGCATCACATGCCCCAAAGTGGCCGCGAGCAGGAAAATTCCTGGACTTGTGACCGGGACCGCACCCGCCATATTTGTGAGCCATGACAAGTAGAGTTGTACCCCAGGCCCCTGAGGAAAAGGCGGTGTAACCCTAACCCTAGCCCTCAGTGCCTAAGAGCTTCAGCTTAAGACAGAGACATGAGGGCTAAGATTTACTGACCACATGCTTGGTTCTAGGGGCCACTGGTAGTTCCGTAACAGAATTCTGGTCTTCCATGCAGCAAGCTTGTGTTCAATTCCCAGCCAGTGTGCTTTGGGCACAGCCACGGCCCATCTGTCAGTAGACACCTGTCTGTTGCTTAAATGCCGAGTAGATGTCCACAGAGGTCCTAGACTCGGATGAGCTGATGGACTTTTGAAATCAGTCCATGAAAACCCTGTGGGTCACAACAATCTTATCTGTGACTGACAGTGGGCATCTCCCAGGATGCTGCCCAGAGTCATCATGTGTCAGGGGCCCGACTAGACTTGAGCTTTGTGGTGACCATTTCACTGAGCACTCAATGCAGCCAGACCTAAGACTATCATTCCACTTTACAGATGAGGGGACCAAAGCTGAGGAAGGTCACTTAGATGGCCTGGGATGACATGGAGTAGTGGAGCTAGGTCTCTGTGAAAAGTGGGTCACCTGAAGAACTTGGCATTAGGGTCAAGTTCCAAAAGCAGGGCCCTGACTGTAAATGAAGCAACACCATTAATTAGCAGTAAGAAGCAGGTGGTTAGTGGGATGAACCTTGGCCTTCACGAGACATCCATCCTGAGACATTGGTGAGAACCACATGCCGCCATATGCATTCTCACCATTCAGCCATGTTGAACTGGAAACGTTCAGTCCTTCCTCCAGGCTGTAATGATCCCATCACAACAAACTCAGCCTGGTATCCTATTATTCCTAAAGTAACCGTCACCACGAGCAGACCAAAAACAATGGACCCCATGACTTCATGAAATGCCCAAAGTCAAATTTTAACAGAAGTATTGGGCCCCTCACTCGAAGTGGATGTCAGTGTGGCATGGACCATGCCCCGCCCCCCAAGCCAGGAGTAAATCATCAGCATGAAACAGGGTGTTCTCTGAGGCTAAGAGCCTACTGAACTGAACATCTGTAGCAAGCAAGAAGGGAAGGTGGGCCTCAGAGGGACACGGTTAGAGCCTGAATCTTCTGTGCACATAAAGGACATGTGTGTGAAGGATAAACATGGGTAGGAAGTCCCTAGACCCTGGAGTGGAGATGGCATCTTGGATGTGCTGACCCCACTCTCTGAAGGACTCTCACCCCCTTCCCACGAGCTCCCCCTGAGCAGGACAACACCTCAGAGATCGTCTGTGTCCTCAGTGCCCTCTGAGGTTTCCAGCTCAGTAAATACTTGTTGGGGTGGTGCTGTGGGTTAACGTGCTAGACTGCAAAGTCAGTTTGAACTGCAAGGTCAGGGGTTCAAGCTCACTGGCAGCTATGGATTGGAATTGACTCAATGGCACATGACAACAACAATAAAATGGGGGAGAGAAACAAAAGGAATACCGCTACAGACATGCACTGCAGAGAGGGAGGGTCTGAGTGACGGTGCCAGTTTGTCAATACAGCCAGCAGGGGGAGCTGTGAGAGCCATAGGAACTTTGACCATCCTTATGTGCCTTGCCCCTGGTGGTTGGTGGTGTTGGTGTGCCTTGGAGTCGGTTCTGACTCATAGTGACCCTGTACAGGGTTTCTGAGGCTGTAAATCTTTATGGAGGAGCTCTGGTAGCATAGTGGTTATGCATCGGGCTGCGAACCTCAAGGTCAGCAGTTCAAAACTACCAGCTGTTCCATGGGAGAAAGAGAAAGCTTTCTGCTCCTATAAAGATTTACAGCCTCGGAAACCCTGTACAGGGTCGCTATGAGTCAGAACCAACTCCACGGCACTTAACAACTACAACAACAAATCTTCACAGGAGCAGAAAACTCCCACGGAACAGATGGTAGTTTCGAACTGCTGACCTTGAGGTTCGCAGCCCAATTTGTAACCACTACGCTGGGTTTTCTGAAATCAGGGTTCTGATAACAGCAGGTTGGTAAGAGGGCAGCTTTGGAATCAGGTGGAACTGGTCAGGTATGAACCCAGGTTCCCACTGAAATCTTGGGCACCTCACCTTCACCTCCCAGAGCCTGGGGTCTCTCAGACGTAAATGGGGCCATAAGCAGCCCCTCTGTGGTTAGCTCCCTGAGAGATGCACTTCGGTCCTTGTTTCTTCTAATGAGTCTATGTGCAGCTGCCAGACACACAATGAACTCGGGGTGGGATCCGGCTGTTCCTGCAGCTCTGAGCTCACGGGACTTGAGAAGCACCCAGGACACACCTGCGCACAAATACTCAGAATAACAACCGGTTTTGAATACTGGCCCTGCTCCACTCTCAGGGAGTCCATGCGAACTCATGACGACCTTCTAGGAGACTAGGGCTGATCCTGGGGGTCTCTGCATGCCCTCACAGCAGCAGACAGCCTCATCGTTTGCCCCACAAGGCTTCTTGGTGGTGGCGGTTGTGTATCATCGAGTCATTGCCCACACATAACGACCCTGTATAAAGCATCTGAGGCTGTAAACCTTTATAGGAGCAGAAAGCCTCATCTTTCTCCTGTGGAGCAGCTGGTGGGTTTGAACTGCTGATGTGTAGTTAGCATAACCCACTACACTACCAGGGCTCCTTGTTGTTGTTGTTGTTGTTGTTAAGTGCCATTGAGTCAGTTCCTGTGTCGGGTTTGCAAGGACCTTGCAGTCCAGCTCATTAACCCACAGCGCCTCACCAGGACTCCTTGGTTTTAAATACATTACTGTTGTGCGTTTCCTTCCAGTAGATTCTAGCTCATCGTGACCCCATGTGTTACAGACTAGAATTGCCCCATACGGTTTCTTGACTGGAATTGTCTTTTTTTTTTTTTTTTTTTAACTCTTTGTTGTGGCTGACAATATACACAGCAAAACCTACACCAGCCATTTCTATGTGTTCCGTTTTGTAGCAGATTCTTCAAGGTGGGCAACGTTTCTCACCCTCCTTTTCTGAGATGCTCCCCACCGCCGCCGTTAGCACTAATTCACTGCCCCTAAGGTTCCTAAGTGATCTCTGAGTAACTGTTGTCAGTTGCATCCCATACAGACAGTTCCTAACAGAGTGCAATGCTCAAGGCAGACTTTTCTGCTAGTTAAGCTAAACTATTGTTTTGGTTTTAAGGTGACTTTAGGGATGTTTTGGGTTTAAGATTTTAAGATTCTCTCAGGGTGGTGGGCTTGATACCTGACTATTGTTCTCAGTCCAGTGTTGATCATATCATCCCCACTGAGAACCACTGACTTAGAGTTACCAGCTCGTAGGTGATGGGACTGGGATCCAAACTCATCACCTGTGGCTCCCACTCCTATTTCCCTTCTTGGCGGCACCTCCGTCTTTCAGAACAGTGAGAAAGCGAGGCAGGCATCTGGGGCTCTGAAGGTAAAACTCTGTTGCAAAGACAAAGGGGTCATAGTGTGGGCGAGACAGGGCAAGGGCAGATCAGGAGGCTCATAGACCACCTTCCCTAAATACCTGATCATCTAGTAGACTGTTGTCAGATGGGGCTTGATTGAAAGCAGAGAATACCAGAAAAATGTTTACCTGTGCTTTATTGACTATACAGAGGCTTTTGGTTGTGTGGATAATGACAAACTATGGACAACATTGCAGAAAATGAGCACTTAATTGTGCTCATGAGGAACCTGTACATAGACCAACAGGCAGTTGTTCTGACAGAACAAGGGAACCGTGTGTGGTTTAAAATTAGATAAAGTGAAGAAAACTTAAAATATTTACTGAAGAAGATCAAAGAGCAAAGCCTTTGGTATGGATTGCATCTCAATATAAAGAAGACAAAAGTCCTCACCACTGGACCAATAAACAACATTCTTATTAACGGA